CTTTTGTCAACAACCCCATACCAAATTCTGTTTGGCAAAGCTTCTACGAGCAAATTTATCCACCTCGTCCTACCATTGAACTTATACTGACTGAAAACATCGAAGCGCTGGATTCGGAAATAACAATAATTGAAATAAAATCAGCAATAAATAAAATCAAAATCAATAAGGCTCCAGGCGAAGATGCGATTACGGCAGAGTTCTTTAAGAATTTATCTAGTCAATGGATTTATATCCTACAGTCTGTATTCAATAATATTCTCTTAACTGGAAGCACACCAGCTTCTTAGTCACAGTCCGTACTTATTATGTTACACAAAAAAGGTGATATAAACTCACCCGAAAATTATAGAGGCATTGCTCTATGCAATATTATCTTAAAAATTTTTACCCATATTCTGTATGATCGCCTCTTGCCATGGGCGGAACAACACAATAAAATTCTTGAGTCTCAAAATGGGTTTAGAAAAAAAACATCATGTACTGATAATATTTTTACTCTTCAAACAGCAATTCAAATACATCTACGTCTAAAAAACAACTCTGCTTACGGACTTTTTATTGATTTCAAAAGGGCATTTGATTCTATTGACCAGATGCTGCTATGGCAAAAACTTCATTCGCAAGGTATAAGTTCGCGCTTAATTAAAATTCTCCAGTCTATTTACGACAAGGCTTTCTTCGTGATCAAACTTCAACAAAAAGACTCCGATCCTATCTCTGTTACCGAAGGCGTTCTCCAAGGGAAAATTTTCAGCCCTCTCCTTTTCATATTGTTTATTGCTGATCTTGAGAAAGAATTAACGAATGCAAATATTGAAGGGATCAATATTAATGGTCTACATGATATTTTGATGCTGCTTTTTGCAGATGACGCCGTTGTTCTAGCCAGGTCCCCTATTATTTTACGAAAAAATCTATTAGCACTTGAAAGTTACTGCGAAAAAAACAAACTTGTAAACACGGAAAAAACCCAAATTGTCCACTTTAGAAGAGGGGGTAGGCCAATGGCAAAAAATTTCTTTTACAAATGTCAAAAAATTTCTGTCGTGATGTCCTACACATATTTAGGGGTGAATTTCTCAAGCTCCACATTAGGCAAATGTGTAGCAGAAACTGCCATAAGAAAAGGGAAAATGGCGCTCGGTACGGCAGTACAAACCATAAGTAAATTTAAATCAGATTCTTGGGAAGGTCGGGCTAAATTATTCTTCTACAAGTGAATTTAATTGGGTTACACAATTTAATGAGTTTCTTAAAGTTGTAAATATGACAAACTTGTGGGAAACACCGACTGCAGCAACTTGGATTGATAACCGAACTATGGCCCTTGAACGCTATTATAGATATCTAAAATTCAAAGACATTTTAAAATTCCCCAATTCACAATCCATGAATTGCAATATATTAAGAGCCCTGGATGACAAACCTGCCTGTTACCTCTTTAATCGTAAGCAATTTTTTATGGCAAAGGTTATTGCCCAATTGCGGTTGTCACCAACTCACTGCACTCGTTTTTGTATTAACGGGTAAATTCACAGACTCGAAATCAACAACCTTTGTACACTTTGTAATTTACAAACTGAAGAAACGTTGAATCACTTTATGTTTGAGTGCCCTATTTACTCCTCAGTACGAGATCACCATCTTCGTTTCTTACTTACGGTCTTCAGAGAAAAGAAATCTCTAATTTTCAACTGCACTGATCCGCAATCATCGAAAGCAATATTCACATATATAATAAATAGTCTTAAAATCAGATCATTTATTATAAACGGATAAGATTTTGCAAAAAAATTTGTTTTTTGTAGATATATATACATATATAATTATAATTATTTCCCTACTATTTATTTAACTTAAGTTTTTTGCTTTTATCGCTTACTTTTTAAACCTAATTAGTAATAAGTTTAATATAATTAATAATAAGTATACATCAAACCTCCTTCTGTTAGAACTATAAGTTCAGAAGCAGAAGTAAATAAATGTTGAAATTAAAATTGAAAAAATACTAAAAACTAAAAAAACTTCTGTGAACTACAAGTAATATAAAAGCATAAATTGTCCTTTTTGTCTGTTCGATTAAATATACCCGAAATAAGTTCTGTTTATTTTGTGCGGTAATTTGAATATTGAACACTGAATTTTCAACACCGGGATATACAGAAGTAATTCGAGTAAATTAAAATAGGTAACAATCCTCATAGAAAGTTGCGCAAAGTTAAGATCACATGTGAACTACAACTTAGCGTGGACTCCAATCGAACTAAACTTGCGTGTGGAATTAAAAGAAAAAAAGGAAAAATTTGAAAAAAAAAATATAAATTCATAAAATTAAATAACTAAATCCTTAAAGGACGAAATAAACTAACCGGAAATAAAAAAAAATATAATAAAAAAAAAACAAAAAAAAAAGGAAAAAAAAACCGTCATTTTTTTTTTAAACGAAAATTCAAATCACTGGTTTAGTTGTTGACTTTAAACCGGGGTTATGTTCGTGATTCTTTTGATTAAAACATCTAAGCAGAATTTAAAAAAAAAAAAAAACAGAACGCAACATCATGAACAGCAACAACAATTCAGACGCTAGCAACCGCTACCACAGCTGCAACAACGTCGCTCCTGGCACATAGCATCAGCGAACAAATATTTTTTCTCCTATCTCTCTTTATATATTAAATATATATTACATTATATAGTTTCTTTTGCAAAACTTATTGTATATGTTCATATGTATGAATTGTTAGTTGCTTTAATTTTAATTATATTTTTTTTCCTTTTGATGAAACAATAGTAAATTCAACATGGCAAATAATCTAAGTCCATTTGATTTTTCTTGAAATATTCTTATTTAGTATTAATAAATAGAAATATATATATGCACACATGTATGAATTGTTAGATGCTTTTTTTTTAATTATATTTTTTTTTGTTTGATGAAATAATGGTAAATTCAGCAAAGCAAATAATCTAAGTCCATTTGATTTTTTTCCTTTAAAATATTATTATTCAGTATTAATAAATAGAAATATATTACATATAAAATTTTTATAGAGTAAAT